CTGCTGGTGAAGGTTTGTGTTTCACAGCAGGGCCGGCTGCATCCCGGGGGAGCCCTTCTGTGCGTGCAGGAGGGAGGCTCTCGCAGGCAGCGTTTCAGGGCAATGTTACAAATAAAGTGTTTTTAGTCAAATTGAGTATTGCTGCTTAGGCAGTCTTTTTTCGTATCTATATAAATAAAAAAGTCAACCCCCAGGCTGGTGGTCAGTGCTGCTACCAAACTCTTTGGGGAGCCGAGCACGGGATGTTTGTGCATCCTCCATGCCCCAAGCACGGTCGCGTCTCGCTGAGGCCTGCCACGAGTACGGCTGTTCGCTGCGGGCAGGCAGCGTCCGTGCTGTGCGCGGCGCCGCTCGGGAGCCCCTTGCGCAGGGCAAGGCAGGCGTGACCCAGCGCGCTGGGAAAACCGCGCTGTCGTCGGTGGCTCTGCTTTTTCCAGATAAAGTCTGTTTCAGGATAGGCTTTCTGACTGCTAACTGTGTGTTGAACGAGCTGTCTTTCTAACCTGCCGAGTGTAGGTCAGTGCAAATAGTACAACTAAACATTCGTGTGCCCTAGTGAAATGACCTCTGGTGCTCCTGCGGTTGGATGCAGACTTTCCAAAACCCCACAGAGTTCTGCTACTTGATCATTTCAAGGTTTTCTTTCATTTTGAACTTTGAGAAGCATTTTCCTTTTAATTGCAAATGGATACTCACCAGAAAAATCATATTTCTAGGTTGTGTCCATCTTTTATATGTTGCTGCTTCTGAACTAACCAGGAGGTCATCTAAGTCTAATACTTATCTGACTGACTATGGTGCAAATAGGGGTTAAGTAAACTGACTTTCTCCTGTGACCTTCTGAGTCAAAAACATATTGTATCTGTTGCTGTCAGGGGTGGGTTTGAACCATTTTGGAAAAGCAGGGCTGCTTTTCATAAATATTTGTCTTGCTTTAGTTTCCTGAGATATAATTTAAATGTAAACTGCTTCATATGCTTCAGCTTTTGTGCTATCTTGCTGTATCACACCATGCTGCCTCGTGCACTGCATGTGAGAATGGCACTACATCATGCTGTGGTGATTATTTGAGAGGGCGTACACTCTGTTTTGGACTAGATACTGTTATCAGAGTAGATAATTGCTGTCAGACAAAATAGATTCGGTAAACAAACATTTCATTTTATCATGTGATAAATGTCTGCTGTTTTGTGCAGTGTATTTGAACGATGTTCTCTAAATCAGCACTGCTTCAAAAGCAACAAATCCAACTCTCCCAAATCCTTCCTGATGTAATTACTTTATACTAGACATTAACTTTCCATGGTAATGTGTACATGATGGCGTTTTTCAGTGTTTGGCGATAAGAATGTTTGACCCAAGCAAATAAGCTGTGTCTAAGAATAACCAATTTCTCCCTCCACCATTACTGCTCTGCTCTTTTTCCTCTGGGGTATCTTTTATAATCCTTCATCTTCTCCCTGATAAAGGAAAGACTCCATTATTTTGGAGGGCATACTTTTAGTTATGACTTTCCAAGAGAAATGGATTAATGATCTAGCACATACAGGAAAGCTTAAAAGGGTATCGAAGTAAACTTCATAACATGGATAATGAAATATCCATTTTTCCATTGATCTTGTGACCAAAAGGTGATTATTGTTTGACACGTAACTAATATTTTGTTCTTTTCACTAAACGATGGATATCTGTGGCTTCCTCTGCAGGTCCCGTGCCTAGGAGCGAATGTGTCTTATCCCCTGTTAACAATTCCCACCCAGTCCATGCCTTATTGGAGAGTTTTACAGTCTTATCCGGCTGTGCAAGCCGGGGCACGACAAGCCTGCCGCAAGAGGTGCACATCCTCAATCTCAGAAATCCAGAGGAAGGTCTTGGCCATCACGAAAGAGAGGTAAGGGGGAAATTGCTTTTCTACCAGATTCCTGAGTGCACGTGTGCCTGCAGACGGGATTGTGCTGCCTTAGTTTACTCGAAGTTGTTTCTGAACCATGAACAGAAAGACTGCAGAGAAGTATGTGCAACTTGCATTGGGTACTGTTCGCCCATGCTTTGCGTGTCATAGGGGTAAACCATTTCTGTAGGCAGTCATTCTCCCCATCACCTCTCTCAGCCACAAAGTATGCTGGAAGGTGGTGGGGTGGGCAAAGGAAATGAGAAACAGATTTAGATCTATAAGAGGCCTGGACAGAATAGGTTGTCTTCAAAGCCAGATCATTTACCTAAATGTGTTGTATATTAACATGAATACCTTTGGATCGCTGCCATGACCACTATAAACAAATATTTAAGTTCAGATCCTTTTGCCTCTGTAGTACATCCTTAATTCTACACTGATAGGGAATGCAGTACAGAAAGCAAGTGCTGCTGACTATGGTAGTTTTTAAGCACAGTCCAATTACTGATACATGTTGTACTCGGAGGGATTGGCAAGAACTTTTGTTCTCCAAAAGTGACAGCACAAGAAGAAAATTTCTGATGTGAACTTGTGCAGTATTGTTTTTTGCTCTGAAAACACAGCAAATCAGGGAGCTGTAGTGAAAAGAAAACCTTGCATGTCATGGCAGCTGAGCTGCTCAGTCCTTGTACTTACAGTATTACCAAAAAAAAATTCCTTAATGTTGCTTCCTGTGAGAGTAATGTGTGTGCACACAATTAGCAGAATTTGTAATGAGAGAACAAAGATGATGATCCAGCAGGATGAAGCTTAGAAACAGAGGGTGTGAATCTGTGTTGAAAGAACTTCCAAGTGGAGTCTTGTGTTATGTTTCCAATACAGGCAGTTACTTGTGGCCATAATGGAAGCCTTTCCACTGACTTCAATAGCAGCCTTGTCAGTTTGTGGGGAGTAGCTGAATGTGGATTGTACCCCTCTGTGGAGCTTCAGCTGTCGTACACATTTTGAGTATTTACACTGTCTCAAAAGTCCAGTGTGTGGTGAAAAGGTTATTTATTATCTTTTCAATAGGCATGCCATTGGCTGCTCTTAGTCAAAAATGTCAGATCTACCTCAGTTTAACTGTCACCAAAGGAATTTTTAGAAATTACACTCATTTCTTTGTGGTGCTTGAAATAAGGATTTTCTTTATTACGTTTTTGCAAGGCATTGGGTTATCAGCCTGAGGATTGCACTGTGAATGCCCCAAAGATGTAGGTACAGCCAGTTCCCTGGACATGAAAATGACATTGTAATTGGAATCTGTTCTTGCCTTTCTCAGTAGTGTAGCTTTCTATAAAAATGAAACAGGCTTATGTGATTGTGGGGTGTGTGAGAGCGTGTGCCTCCCTCCTCCCCCAGGAACTTTTAAAGCCATTGCCAAGTCTGCAACAAATTTGGTAGGAGGGGTGGTCTCCAACAGTAGGTTTTGTGAAGACGGCAGAAGAGCAAAGGACAGAGACCTTCCCCGTGCCCATGCTGGGGACGCTGCAGGGCGAGCGTGCAAACAGTCACCAAGGGGTCTCCGGGACGGGGGAAGCAAGGTGGGTTTTGGACCTCCAGAAATGCCAAAATGAATGTAATGTCCAGCTCTAATTCACATAAAGCCAAATTTCAGTGTCTCCCAGTGCATTGCTTGTTACCAGTGCTGTTTCTGCACAAGCGGAGCTGGAGTCGCGTGTGCGCCAGGCTGCAGGCCGTGCCACCGCTGCCTCTTATCCAAACAGAGTGACAGAAGAGGCAAATAGCTGGCTTTAAATTTAAACAGTTGCTGTCTAGCTGAAAGCCGCTTGTGCCTCATCTCACTTGCTTATGTTAAGAACGAAATTTTCTCCAGTCTCTCTTCTGTGTACTTCTGTTGTATACTGAAATGCAGAGCGCTGGCTACATTTTGCTAGCAGTAATCCCTGGCCACCTTGTCCCATCTCCCAGGCATTTTCCAGCCACAGCCTTTGGAGATGACTGCCCTGAAAACGAGCAGGAAGCTAGAGACAGGCTTGCTGGCGACAGCATACAGCAGAAGAGTGTAAACAACTTGGACAGAGCAGATCTTACTTATGGGATAAGAGCCTGAAAACAAAGCAGAGCAAATGTTATCTTTTCCATTATTGTAAAAATCAAGTGCCCTTTTGTATTGAAGTAAAATGTATCCATCACCTCAAGTAAAATTAGTTTGATTTACTAGTTGTGGTATTTCCTGTTGCCTGCAAATGCTGATAGCAAAGGTAGAGATCTGTTTGTCATACAATACTTCCAATATATTTCAGAATAAAAACAATATTTCTGTGTGACAGTACATTAGCTAAAATCTGCAACATTTAAGGTATATTTGAAATAAATGACATGACTGGGTTGGTTGATCTGATGACATGGAATGTGAGATCTCAATCTTTAAAGGAGGAGTTGCTTTGGAGGAGAAGAGGAGGTTGGGTTTTGTTTTGCTTTGCTTTAAACCTGCCCTGTACTGGATGCTGCTAAATTACACATTCCTTACTTGCTGGGAGGAGTGTAAACTTCCCGTAGCAAATTCCTTTGAGGGCTCATGCATTAAACATACTCGTGCAGTTATCCTGGTTCTCATAAATATGCAACATTTATATGTGCACTAATTTAACTTGCTTTGACATTTGTATAGAATATACAGACAAGGCACATTCTCAAATGTAAAGATAGGAGGGCTGGTGGTGCGGGGGGAAAGGCATGACACGGGCATGCATTCTTCCTATAATTACATGCAGATTTTTCTGCAAAGATTAATAAGGCTTGGGTGTTGTTTTTCTTCAGTGTAAACTAAAATTAATATCTGGACTGGAAATATGCAGGATTATGTATTCCTGACAGCTTTTGCAAAACTAAATCATTGATTTATTGCTCTCAGGTTAAGGCTGAAATCTAATAAGTGTAGGGTCATATCATGAAATGCTGCATCATGTCTGTGGTTTTCAAGGAATTTATTTGTATTTCACTTCCTTAGTCTCTGGTGGGGGTAGTCATCTCATTTGTAGAGACTGTCATGACATTTTCTTTAAGAGAACCTTAGAAGTGCCAGTGGATTTTAGGTATTTTAGAAGTGTCTTTTATCACAGTTCATATTGGCCTTGCTTTATCATAGGAAATAAAATACGGGTGCATGTAATAGCCACAAGTATTTATATAGAGCTTGGCATGAAAAATGCAGTGCCTCTTTTGTTTGTTTTATTTGATCAAATATTCCTGGGGAAGTGAGTGCGTGTGTGAGTTTCTGTAGCAATCTGGGTCTCAGCTGAAAGCCAGGAACTACCGAGCACTTACAATAACTCTCTCTTTGGCTTTGGCCAGCTTCTCTGCTTAAGTTTCCCATTTTTTAGAAGGGAGATGCTTGCTTTCTTAACCTACTCATGCTCTTACAATAAACAATTGTTTGTGAAAGCGCTGTGAAACTATGGATATGCATCAGAAAAACATGCATAAGAAAACTTAAAAAATATTCTACGATGAATGTCATTGCTTAAGTAGGTTTATTATCAACTCTTACCTTAATGGAGGAGTCTTTTATTATAGTTGTCAGTTAAATTCCCCTGAACTTTTTCAGGCGCACAGCCATGATTGAAATAGCTAATGGGGGAAGGAGGGAAACACAAAATTAATCTCATGTGAGTACCTAGAATTGAATACATGTGATTACATGGAATCAGAATTCCTGGCAACGGATTCACTATTGTTTTCATTGACATCCTCATCCTAAGTAGCTTTAAGATGGTATTCCCGATACAGATGTTGGACATGTGTTACGTGAAATGAAGGCAGGAAAATCAAGGGCTTATTTTTATCATTTGAGTAGCTGCATTGAGGCTGGAATAAATTCTGCTGAGTTTCTTTTCCCTGTTAAAGCAGTGTAATTTGGTAGTGAATTCATAATGAAAATATACTCTCCTTTGAGAGCAAACATCATGTTAAAAATCTTGTTAGTTTCTGTGAATAAACTGGCTAATTACAGTTGCATAGTAATGGAATAACTCACATTCTTGGGCTGACGCTCTTAAAGGGGCCAAATTGTTCAAGTTCAATATTTAAGTATTTTCTGAAAAATCATGTATGACTTCTAAAAATGGAACAGGAAAAGAAACTGAAACATATGCCCCTCATAATGTATTTCTGCATTGTGACCTTGGCAATGCCTCCTGAATTCAGAGGTTTTTTTTGTATCTTTTTTTTTAATTTTGGGACTATGAAGAGATCTAGAAGATGAGGGTGAAATCCTGGTTCATTTTGTCTGTTTTTCTTGCACGTTTACTGTATTTCACAGTATATTAATTTCAGCTATTTTCAGTTCTTGCATGTTTACTGTATTTATTATATTAATTTCAGTATATTTCAGTATTAATTTCAGTATATTAATTTCAGCTATTTTCAGAAGTAACATTCTTTTAAGGGGAACAGATTCAGTTCTGAATTGTGCTTATGCATGTTTGTGCACGCGTCACAGGCACCTGTGCTCATGTACACACTTTATATTGCTGAGAAACCCTGTGTACACAGGGCAGCATGGAGCTAAAAACAACTGGCAAGCTCCTTCAACTAATTTTCGTTTAAAAACAACAACAACAAAAACCCCTCACCACCAGCAAAACTATTATCCTCTTCAGTAGCATTGTACTAAAATGAGAAGCTTTAGAATGAGTTTATTTTATTCTATGATTAAACAATTGCATAAGATCTTGAATACTGCATCTGTGCGCTGCTCGATCACTTGGCCACAGAAATTGGCCCTGGGATGTGATCCTGCTTCTAGTGAGCTGACCAGAGCTGGGAAATGAAGGGATAGGGCCCGTTTGGCTGGCCCGCGTCGTGTCCGCGCTGCGCCGGCAGCTGAGTGCAGTGGGAGCCTGTAAGGAACAGGGAGCAACAGCACAGTCACCCGGGAACCCCCTGGAGCAGGCACCCAAACACTAGGAACCCAGTGCTCAAACCGAGGCTTT